CTCTGACTAGTTCTTTGAGAGGGAGAGCAATCTTGCTATGTAGCCTCTGACACACATCCTGTCCCACAGCACGCCTGCTGCACCCTCCCACGTGAAGGGAGGGCAGACATGAAATTCTAACGCGTTTCTGAACTTCCATAGCTCTTCCTAAAGCCCAGAATCCCTGGACAAAGCCCTAAGTCTCCATTACTCACTCTGCATAACCATTGTAACCCTGAAGACATTCTCAGATTTTATCTGTCGCACTTTAACCTCCTTTGTTCCACAACTCTCCTTGATTTTTGACCTCCCCATCATATCTCAAAATAACTCTAGCCACTATAAATTTCCATAACTCTCTCCATGGGGGAGTTCCTGGGGGGCATCTATTAATTGGCTAGTTCTCTGCCACAAGGGGGAGCCAGATCTCTACAGTGAGAGCCATGGCTGCAGGCACCTGAAAACTGGACCTGGGATAAATCCAGGTCCCTTTGATTTATCAAAACCAGTGACAGCTTCAGTCTAAAGCAGTGCCTACAACTTTCTAGTGTTTGTGGGGTTCTACCACCAAAGGGTGCCTGGCACGCCCCAGAGTAGGATTCCTTATATTATTTCTTGTAAACACGGGAGAGGATGTAGCCAACGTCCCTGCTCATTGGTCTCTGAGTGGATGTGGCACTCATCCTAGTCCCCAAGGATCTTGTCTAATTGGCATTGTCTTTCTCTCTCGAATGACATCTGGAACACAACTTCTCTCTAGCCGAGAATACCTGAAGCCCCTGCTTCCCTTGTTTGTGTGTAGTGAGTCTGATTACTGATTTTTTTTTTTTGAAGGTTAGGTTCCAAAACAAGACAGTTTTATTTCTGAGATCAGAAGACACCAGTAAGAATTGAAATGATCCGGCTGAAAACAGGACTCTTTCCCATTTCTGGGCTGTTAGTGAGTGCCGCACTCACCCGAAATTGTCCCCACAACTGTATTGCTGGCACAAGTCCCCTGGGAACTGGAGGGGGACTCTGCCCTCCATGGTCTCAAAAACATCAATTCAGGGCACCACAGGCGGTAAGGTCTCCAAGGGTTTGAGTGCTCCGCTTCTGACCTGGCCCAGAGAGGACGCTTCTAACAACCTCACAGACTGAAGAAGCTCCAGCCAGACGTGCCTTAGTCTCAGTGATGGAGTACCAGAGTAGGAGGCTCAGCAAGGCTGTGGGGATCACCTGAGGGAAACAGCAGGGATAACTGAAGAAAATGAATGGCCATTTGAGGAAGAACCTTGGAGGAGCTAAAGAATTGGGTACGGGGGTTAGGTTGGAAGCAAGTATAGGAGGTTGTTATCCGGACTAGAAAGAGATGGGGTCAAGAGTAGTCAAAAGCCGCCCCTGAAGATGGAAAACTGTGCAAAGAGCCCTTCTCTTGCTTTTTCTTGACGCCCCTCCAAGGCAAAACAGAAGACCCCTTGGTATCTTTTTTGCCTCTGTAGCTTCTGTCACAGTCATACCTCTTCACCCCGTCCCTACCCCATCCTTCTACCCCTCCAAATGGGAGCTCCATGTGGCAGGGTATCTCGGAGCTTTGTAAACGCAGTGTCACACAAAGTTCTGAAGATGCTTAAGATCCTCAGAAAGTGTTTGTTGAACAGCCAGCTGGGGAAGGGTACCTTTTCCTTCTCGTGGGCAACCTGGACATGGCAGGAGATGGGGGCACCGCGGACATCATCGACAGCGGTTGAGGAAAATGGATCACTTGAAGAAGGCTCTCGATGCAGCGAGCCTTGGACTGTCCAGAAAACCTCTGTGGAAGTAACAATGAGATCAATGTTAGGGTAGATGCCTAGGAGAACTGAGAATAGTGTCCAAGGAGAAGGAAAAGACATGAGAGAGTGGGAGCTGTAATCCTGAAGACTGGCTTTAGACACTACGGAAAATTTGTCCGTTATCACGAGGCATATAGAAAAACTGGGAGAAAGGAGTTGGCAGTAACCCATCAGCTGCCCATAATGAATGGAAAATTGGTGAGATTTACAACTGGGTTCAACAACCCCATAGGTCAATGATCAAGGATAGCAACCAAACTTCAAAGCCATCCACCATGCTCTCTGGTCAGCAGACATTCTCACCCCTCTCTGGCATTAGCCCCTTTCTTTTCCCTTGTATAACTGTTAGTCTCCGTTCTGGGGGCTGTAAGATAAAATCAAGCCCATCTCCCATCCCACCCCAAAGTTGGCTTGACACAAAGAAGGTGGACAGAGCATCCTTTCCCCTGGAGGACAGTGATTGGTTCAAGGTTGTGTACATGACCCAAGACAGGCCAATAGGAGCCCTCTGCCAGGCTCTCCCCAAGTCACCAGGGACAGAGAGACTCCTTCCCACTGGGGTTGCTAATTACAAGGATGTTAGACTAACACTTTAGCTTAGAGGAATACAAGTTGGGTTTGTTTTTTGCTTTATTAGTTTTTGTTTTTGTTTTGTTTTTGAGACAGGTAGTCCTGTCTCTGTAGTCCTTGCTGTCCTGGCACTCAAGAGATCTGCCTGCCTCTGGCTCTGGATATTATAGGCATGCACCTCCACTGCCCGGCTAAGACTTGGGTTTCTGTTGCATCCTTGAAACATAAAGAATGTCACCTGGAGGTTATAGTTTCACACTCATGGACTGGTAAGGGACACAGAGGTCCTTGTACTCACCCAAAGCACTAAGGGAACCAGGAATGTCAATCATGTGCCTTTATCTCCTCAATGAAGGAGAAAAGATCAAATACCTGCATTCCATCCAGAAAGCTGAGAGTGGATTTTGTGATCAACCTGGTGACCTTTTGCTCCTCTGTGGAGGCTGACCTCCCTCACCTTTTGCTATAGAGACAGACCTCACCCAAATTCCCCAGAATGTTTATCCCAGACTCTTCCCTCCCTAGACCATTACCATCCTTAGGGAAGATGTCACCTGTACTTTATGGCCTGCTGACCTCTATGCTCAGTCAGGGACCACACTAGATTCTAAGCCTTTTAGCTATAGAACCCACCCTCATGGTCACGTGTACTTTGTAAAGGAGTTCCTATGTAGTCACACCTTAAGCTTTGTTGTGCACCTAGCATTGGGCTGACTGTTGCCTGGAAACCTTTTCCAAAAATGTACAGTGTTTTAAATATGCCCACAATGAACCACTTGCATTAGACTCCCTGCAGTCTGATCCAGGTTGACAATGCCAGTCTACACTGGGTTTTCATTCTTATCTACTTCCGTGGTGGTTTGCTTCCCTATATGACACCTGCAGGGATCCCCTCAGTGTACCTGTGTGTAAAAACACATGCAAATCAGAGAATATGCCCGAGAAAGATATGTCTGTGAAAAAAATAGACCTTGGTCCTACACCCCTTCCCAACTCTGCAAAGACACTTTCTGTGGCCATCAAGGTTTGGGAGCCTCCCATCACACTCTGACCTGCAACATGGCCAGTGCCCTCCAGAAGAGTTTGGAGTTGGCGATGCGGAGGTTCAGCATGTGGTTCTGTAGGATCTTTCCCAGCAGCACATGGGCCCCAGTACTCACTGTATTCAACACCCACTTGGTGCTTAACTCACGCTGGAACTTCTAAAATGCAAACACACAGCAACATCAGAAGTTAGAGGCTGAGAAAGAAACAGGGTGTGAGCCGCCTGTGGTAGGAAATCAGACACCAAAAGGGAGATCATTTATTTGATGACACAAGGCTTTAACTTTCTTTTAAACTTTTTATTCTAATCTCGTGAGGGCTAACCTTAACCCATAAGCCCCAGTTGCTCAGGACAGATAATTTCCTGAATCGCTGGGGGCTGTTTTTATAAAATAACAAGCTACCTATTTTCACTTCAGTAAACAAAGGTGCTTACCTCAACTGAGTAGGATGTGCTTGATCACAGATAGGTGGCAGGTATGTAGTCAGGAAGTACATCCGAATGTGTGCTTGCCCCTGATTGGATGAAGGCAGGATGTACACAGCCCTGTGGGTTTTGCCTTTATAAGCACCTCATTACCAAAATTCAACACCATCTCTGGGAACCCTGTGTATGGATGGAGCTAGTGTCCATCTTCCCGGCCAGTATTTAATAAAGCTTGCTTTAATTAGGCAATCATGGATTTGGTCTTTCTTCTAGACATTTTCATGTTTATCTACTTTATTTTTAAAAACAAGTTATTGTATTTTTAATGTGTATGTGTGTATGCGTCTGTGTACCAAATGCATGTTGTGAACTTGGTGGACTGAAGAGGGTATCAGCTGATTTGGAACTGAGGTTACTGACAGTTGTTTTCTACCAGGTGGGTGCTGACAGTTGAACCTGGGTCTTCTGGAAGAGCAAGAGGTGCTCATAACTGCTAGGGCATCTCTCCAGCCCCCACATTTTCATTTGACCCTTGGAGGATCCATAGATCCTATGATGTGGGAGGAG